ACTATGGGAGCCGGCCGCCGCCGGCGTTTGAACGCCGCGAGCTCAACGAGTACGAGCGCGAGCTCGCGGTCCGCCGCCCCGCGCCTCCTCCGGCTCCTCTGCCGCAGGGAGCTCGTCCGCGGGCGGCTCGAGCTAGCGGCTCACTCCGGTCAAGAGAGAGCCGGAGGAGCTCGGGCCGCTCGCCGTCAAACTCGAGGCCGAGGCGGACCCGCCGCGTCGAGGCGTCACTGGCCCTGAAGACTACCTCCCCCCCGGGGCAGGAGGACCACCTCAAGCGCGCCATCATGGAGCATTCGACAAGGGAGGAGGAGGAGGCTGACGCGTGCCGCCACCGCGAGCTTGAGATCGAGGAGATCTTCCTCGAGCAGGCGTCGCGGCGTCGCAGGCGCACGCGTCCAAGGAGGCGGACCTACGCGTCATGAAGGCCGAGCAGGCCAAGGTCTGGATCGACCTTGACTCCGGCGAGGACTGAGCTCCTCCGGCTCCTCCGCCACGTTGTCGCCGCCGCACCCGTCGATTTTGGTAGCCCAGGCTCCCCCCTATGTAGTACTATGATGTAGTATGATGAGCAACTATCTATGATGTAGTATGATGATCAACTATGTATGATGAATCTTGTTGCAAGTTTCTCCGGCGAATGTTTTTTTTTTTAAAAAATTACAGTGTCATATACGGGGTCTCATCTGCAGCAAACGAATTCGCCCCACAAATCTGATCTGCAACTGTAAACACGTTTTCCGGTCCGACTTTTACAGGGTCGGCTAGAGATGCTTTAAGTAGGGTTTAAATGGGTACGCCACTCCTATCCTATACTTTTCATATCCCTGCATTTTCAGAATCCTGTGAATCAAAGAGGCTCTTAACGGTTTCCTCAAGCAGCTGGTCAAGTCAGGCAGCAGACACACAGCAGCTCATTATACAAACAGACAGGAGTACTACGAGCTAATTAGGCAAGCATGTGCATGCAGTTGCATTATGTAACGACGGTGGAAAAAATTCTCCTCTCATGTGGAGTGGTAGTAGTACTGGATTATGCAATGCAGCCCAATCATTGGGCACCCAATCAGCCTTCTCATTTTTTACGTGCTCAATGTTCATCCCGTGTTTCATTTCACGGAGGAGGAATCTCTGCAGAACACACACACATACACACACGCATGCAAGCATGTACTCCTACTAGGCAACAGTGTGCCTGCAAAAAAGCAAGCAAAAGAAAAGGTGAAGCCATGGCAACGCTGCCAACGGTGAAGAGAGCAGCCACTCTCTCTTTCTTCCCCACTTTTACTTTACCCTCAGACAGTGCCCAGTAAATTGCTCTTCTTTTCGTACGCCCTTTCAGGTGTGTGCTTGGACTGGGCGCCGCTCCTTTCATGGCCCCCAATTTGACCTGACTGAGCGAGTGACTGACACCTGCATGCCCAAAGCTCAAGCATCGGATGCGGCGGCTGTGGAAAAGCCAGGAAAGAAAGAAAGAAAGAAACCAATCAAGTCTTGATGCCTTTCTCGTCTGATGATGGGGCTGCAAGATACTACCACCAGCTAGCTGAAATCCAATCATGGCCGGTGAATGAGAGGCGCTGGTTAATCTACGGGTCACATTGCCATTGCGACTGATGCCGGTGGTGATTCAGAGAAGATCGATCGATCGCTCGGGTACGGTATCCAAAGCGTGATGCTGATTTTCGTGGCCAAACTTGTTGGTTGACAAACCCTATACGTTGATCTCGCTCGCATAATTAGTTATGAGGATAAGCAAGATGGGCGTCCAATTGGAGCTTGAATTAATCGTGTTGGTTGCAACGTAGTGGTTGCAGGGTTCTTGGACTCCATCCATGGCACCACTACGCCACTGTTCTTTCCGTCTGCTGCATGGGACCATTTCCAACCTCCAATCGCCAACCTGTCCTCGCCAGTAGTAAACCACTGAAATTAGTAGTACAAGGAATTGCTCATGCGATCCTTGTACACTTCTACTCCCTCCGTTTCTAAATATAAGACTGTTTAAAGATTTTAATAAAGACTATATACAGATATATATAGACATATTTTAGAGTGTAGATCCACTCGTTTTGCTTCATATGTAATCTGTATTGAAATCTCTAAAAAGGCTTATATTTAGGAACGGAGGGAGTAGCAAGCAAGCTGCCTGCGACTTTGGCAGATTTTAGAACAAGCAAGCTTAGATAAGCTAGGTTTCAAAAAAAGGAAAAGAAAACTCAGATAAGTGTAAGTGTTGTTGTGTGGCCAAGAGGGCTGGGGGTCTGTGGGGCTCGAGATTCTTCATCGTCAATGGTCTTCATACACGCACTATTCGTGTACGTGCCGGCATCTCCCTGTAATCGAAAACAACCAACGTTTTCTACTGTTTCAGAAGCAGACCGGTTCATTCAGGCTTCGGATCATAGCGGAAGGCTGGCCCAGTGCAACGCATCAGCGTTAGCAACAGGACCCGGCACAGTTTCGTGACCTCTTCACTTCTTGGCAGCATCAGCGTTGGCGATGGCTCCAAATCTCGGGCTGATTCCGAGCCAGAAGAAGGAAGGCAAAGCCGCCGACGACGCGTCGGTTTGCCTCCGTGACAGGTCCTGCTCTGCTGACTAGGGCAGGCCTTGACGAGTTGTCGCGGCGAGATTCGCTACGTGGCGAGGGCGAGGAACAGGCTAAAGAACAACCAAGAATTTTGGACCCGCATCGCATGCATCGGCAACTTGGCATGGGAGCGTCGCAGGGCAATGCAGGAATGGGATGATGAAGATTCATTGATTCATTCAGTGTGGGTTTTGGTGCTTACCTAGGTGGCGCCAAGCACGAGCCCATGGCGGTCCAGAGCATCTTCAGGCCCTGCAAGCAAGCACCTCTCAAGTAGTCAGGTTTATATGATGCAACTGCTTCTGGCAGCTCCTCCTTCACTGAATCATCTCGATCAAGGGCCTTCATCAGTGCCTGGTCATCTCATTGGTACTTCATAGACGGTCTAGGAAAAAAAGCTGTGACGGCGATGCGATGCTCGTGACCCCGAATCGCTTCTTGATTTAGCGAAAGGGGTCACGACCGACGAATCATTTAAAAGTTACGCTGAATCAATCAGCGCCATATCAGGACTGATGCTGGTGTTGTGCAACTGTTTTCTCCCATGGAGTGGAGAGATGCGGACTAGAGACCACATCATGTTCAGGGCCAGCTCAGCAGATCATGAAGGCGGTAACATTGGCTTTCCTGATGGGAGGAGGCTCCCCATCTTGTTCCTGTCTGATGGAATTGTCACCCAAGCATTCCATCGGAGGCGTCATTTGAGGGTGATGTCGAATATGACGCCTTCGAGATCTGTGATGGTTGTTCTTGTCCCGTCCACTTCCTCGACAAGCATTCCACGTTTTTCAGCTTCCTTCAGTACCAGTGCGTCCATGCTGGTCATATAGAGAAGACAAGCATCTTAGTTAAGAGAATATACACATCATCATCTAAAAAAAATATGCATTAATACTGGAATTGGCGTAAAATAATAGGATAAAGAAAGAAAGTTAGTTGGAGAACATAATGAGACAAAAAAATTTGAAGCAGACATAAGTGGCCTATTAAAGTGTCACGGTAGCTCTAAGATCTCACTTGTACCAGTTATGACGACCTTGCAAAAATCTTTACACAAGTACGAAGGACAAAGCTGGGATAACCGGGCATAATATCTCAGAAAAAAATAGACCATTTGTTGTTAACAGTTGCTCTTGTATTGCAAGCTTTAGTAGCAGGACACTCTGACCATACCAAGTACATGTCAGTATGCTACCAATTGTAGCTGTCAGTAAATGATAATCTAAACTACTCCGAGCCAGCCCGTACATTCTATATGCTCAGGAACGCATTTGGAGAATCATTTTTGCACAAGGAAAATGAACTAGCAGGTGCAGTGTATCTCAAACAAGCGACAAACTGATAAAGGAATGGGCAACATGACACTTTGCTTGTCCGCAAACCGGCAGAGGTTCTGTAGCTCTACATAAATACATTTACAGTTTTCAGCAAATCTCTTATCTTTATGTACGAGTGCATCACATTGTGTGCATTTTAGACTTAAGGATCAGCGCTCATTAGCATATGCAATGTTTTGGTTTTCTGGAGCCATTGTAAGTACTTCTTAGGACCTTCTAATCTGACCAATAATGTATATTTAGGCAATTTTATCCATGAGTGCCTCATCTACCTTTTAAGCAAAGATATTTAAAATGGCATATCATACACTCGTATGGATGAACCCAAAATATACAGATTAGTCAATGCAGCATAATGATCCAAGAACCAGGCGAGTAGTTACTCTTGACGGATAAAGCAAGGAGAACTAAAATGTGAATATAATGTGATAATCAACTATAATGTCAGCAATTCCTTAGTGCAATTGGCACATCATGATGGGCGCATTTATCTGCACCTTTTTTCTAGAAAGTATTCAGAATTCTACTTATATATGTCTTGGACAAGATAATGAGTTGAACAAAATACATAGATAATGAGTCGGAAAAGTACATACACTTTGGTTCGTGATACATAAGCCAGTATAAATCTACATTTATTGGCCTGCATACGAAGAAGCTTCTCTACAGTATCAAAGAGACATGGAATGCTAGCTTGCTGGAAGCTTTCTGCGAGTCAAGGTCCACGAAATGCAGCAATTGATATATGCATAAGGAATAGAGAAAAAAGGGATCAGAACTGAAAATAACCACAGGGGCATAGAAAAGTTAGAAGGATATAGATATCGGCTCCAAGAATGAGATCAAATCCAACAGGATGTTTTTCAATGATATTGCTTAGATGATCATGATTTCCCCATTCTAGCTTCTCAGCAGTCAACACTGCAACAAAAGTATCAGTTCAGATCCAATTTATGTATAGTTTTATTTCAACTAATATCAGAGCAATGAAACATAGTAATAAGCTGGAAATTACAAAGTGGTAACCTGCATCCGCATTGCCAGAACATGACTGCATCTCTATATTTTTCTTTATAATCTGTGAAATAGATGTAAGGCTTATGTCCAAGGAAAGATCCAAGTGTGGCATGTGCAAATGCATGCATCATTTATGATCAATGAAGTCGATTTCTAGTTCTAGCATTTGAAGATATAGCAGTACATTGTATGATTGTTGCCGGACAGACTGAAAATATAAATGCAATGCAATGGCTGCATCATTAATGATCGATGAATTTGATTTCTAGGTCTAGCATTTGAAGATATAACAGTACACTGGATGATTGTTGACTGACACATAGACTGAAAAATGTTGATGCCTATAAATCCAATTCATATACACAAATTGCTACGTATAAAAATTAATTCGATATCTTAAAACCATGTGAAAGTCTCAAAATCATTCTATAAAATGTCTAACTGGAAGATTCTGAAGGTTTAAATCTTGCCTCTAGAACTTCATCATTGTGATCAGTCAATACCACCTCTTTGCAGAAACGGCTGCACAATATGCCGGTAATGCCTAGCAAGTCACAACAGTGTCAATGTTTGTAAGATCACAATTTGAAGTGAATGTGATAGAGAATTCTCTCACCGATCCCAGATCCTAACTCAATTAGTGAACGCCCCTTCACAGTCTCAGGGTGTTCAGATAGGTACGTGTTCATCAGAACAGCACCTGGCCACACTAATTGTCCAGTAAGATCATAATCAGCTGCACCACATATTGGAATGTTTGTTAGTGCTAAGCAAATAAAAAACATCTGGCACTCTGTAATATGGGGTGGCATCATGCCTGTACCTAAATCCAGCCAGATAAGGTAGTGTGCTAACCATGAGACTTAAATAAGACTATCCATATATCTCACTGCACGGATGCAACACAACTTGAATTTAGCATGGTCAGATCTATTTATTTTTCAGCTGTTGGACACTGGATAGCACTGTGACCACTTAAATGAGAATTCCTTTGTTAAGAAAATTTGTGTACATGCCTCTGGCTGTAGAAGTAGATACAAAGGACAGAACGAAGGAATATACAGTGACAGAGATTTGATCCTTCATAGAAAGGACAGAACGAAGCAAGGGTAAGAGTCGCCTCGCCTAGTGACAGCAAATGTGAATGTGACCCTTCATAAGTTTGATCATGTGATAAATGGGTCTTTTGACGTCCTCACGCACTAGAATGGAACTGTCTCAGTGTAAGGGTCCCCAAACAAGACAAGGTAAAAGTGGTCCTAAAGCCACATGATTGTATAATGAAAACCCGTATTTGCTACATACACAGACAACAAGAAGACAATGCAGAAACCACATGCCACAGACGTATTTCCATGTTCGACAGATTTAACATTTTACCTAAGCTGTAACTGCACAACCAGAAACCAGGCATTTACAATTGGTACGGCTGTTATTGGGACGATGCCGGGGAATGTGTCGAGGCGGCGAACACTAAAATTGTGATCAGCACCTCATCGAGTAAACAAGTATAGAACAGACTGCCAGTGCCTGAAGCATACGTGCAGCAATTCACTGACCAAAATGAAACAACATGTAATAGAACATAACACTGAGCATTATTTAGGGCTACTACGTGAGTGCTGGATTGAACAGCCTATTATTGTCGACACAAAAATATTGGTACTCGACGGTCAAGGTTAGGGCTACTCAAGTTGGGTTGAACTTGAACATAACACGTAGCATTATTTAGGGCTACTACATGTAACTAACTTGAGTAGCACAAAATGTTCAAGTTCAACCAAGAACCAACCATCCCCTCTTCTGCTCTGAACTAAGAAACCTCCACGCTTGTCCCTGCTCCTAGTAGATTTTACACAGAACGAGCTAGTAGCAAGACCCACACGTTGCCAATTCACCATCCCAACAGGCTTATCGAACTGCCCCGCTTAGCTAGCGATGAGTAATTTGCAACATTGGCAAGGAAGAAGCTAAGGGCAGGGGCACTAACTGCAGGCGGAGCTGAGGCAGAGGAGCTGGAGCTCCTGGGAGCCGTAGGTGAAGGTCTTCATCTCGTAGCTGCCCAAATCCAGCAACGAAATTAGCACAAAAGCTTTCGACCCAGCTCACCGGGAAAGGCTGCAACCGAGAGGATGGACAGAGAGCAAACCCCTACTTGCGGTTCATGAAGAAGGAGGGATCCAGGCAGACGAAGTCGTCCTCCTCTTCCTCCTCCCGCTCCCTCGTGCCGCCGGCGCCCGCCATCTCTCAGCCCCTTCCTCCTCCTCCTCGCCGCCGGCGACCGCAGCAGCAGGTTAGCAGAAATTGGAAGTGGAGTTCGCGGCGGCGCGTTGGATTGGACCCTCGGTCGCCTTGTGGGCTCGAGCCTACGGTAACGGGCCTTAACTGGGCCGGAGTAGGCACCAAGCAGCTGGGTCCGGCCCACGGGCGGGAACATTCTAGGGCTGGCAGGGGCAGGACGGTCATTCCACCGCGCCCGCGACCGCGCCGCCCCTCATAAAACCCTAAACCCCACCATCCCCGGGAGGCGAAAAGCGAAGAGTGTGGAAGCGTCTCGTTCTCTTTTCTTGCTTGTTTCCCAAGAAGGAGAAGGAGAAGAGCGGCGGCGTCTGATCTCGTCGGCGGCGGCGATGGCGGCGATTCGGCGTCTGATCCCGTCCTTCAACCGGGTGCTGGTGGAGAAGGTGGTGCAGCCCAAGAAGAGCGCCGGCGGCATCCTCCTCCCGGAGACCTCCAAGCAGGTACGACCCGCCGTTCTCGCCTCCCCCTTTGGTGCTGCCGCCGCTGCTGGTAGATGTTGCTTCTTGCTCATATGCGTGGATCCCGTGCGGGGGCTGCTTAGATCTTGGGCGGGCGGTGGTCGTTTAGGTTGCAAGTTGTTCTTATTGTGTTATTCGTTCAGTTGGGGGTTCAGATTTGCTTCTTGTTGGTAGATTCTAAGCTAGTAGAATGGTCTAATTTAAGAAATTGGGATTCGATTGGTCAAGTTGACATCCATCTGCGCGATTGCACAAAGAATCGGTTTTTACCAATGTTCCACTTTTCGAATTTGGCGTGCTGCTAGACTGCTAGCTGTAGTTGTACAATAGTTCTGTCCCATAGTGCTATCAGGTGCACGTTAATGATGTCACATTATGTCATTAGCTTTGAGAACAGGGTTCATCAATAGTTCATACGGGGTAGTTGTGAACATGTGGGCTGTCTGTTCCTGTGGAGATTGCCTATGATTCTGATGTCGTTACTTGTTCGGTAGAGAGATGCGTAGTTGTGTGCTTTGCAAATTGTTTTCTTGTGGAACTCGTTCAGATGGGGGTGTGGCTAGACTTGCTCATTCAGATTCGCATTGTGTATTGCAGGTTGTTAGCTAGAATTATCTGGTTTAAGCAACTGTAGTTTGATTGGTTTAGATGCCATCAGTTCTGCTTCCACAGAATTTATTTTTACCACCAATATTGCATTTTCACATTTGTCATGCTACTAGATTTGCTAGTTTTGCTGTAGTTCTGTCTCCTAGTCCTATCAGTCCACTTAAACTGGTCAGTTCATGTCAAATCACTCCTATTAGTATTGGAGTTAACTGACTGGTTCCTGACTGATCAGTCCTATTATTTGTGCACATAATTGTGTGGTTCTTGACTGATTACTCTTATTAGTAGTGCCCTCGACTGATTCCACATTATCTTTGAGAAAAGGTTCCGTCATTAGTTCAGGGTTGTCTTTGATGATTTGACTGTCAAATCAGTTCATGACTTGAGAATGTTCTGTGAATCCAGCTGAACTCTGGTAAGGTCATAGCTGTTGGCCCTGGCAGCCGTGACAAGGAAGGGAAGCTGATCCCTGTTGCTCTCAAGGAAGGTGACCATGTGCTCCTGCCTGAGTATGGTGGTCTTGAAGTCAAGCTTGCTCCTGAGAAAGAGTATGTTACTCATTTCACAATCGTATTACTTCTGTTGGTGTTGTTTTTATGTTTTTCTTGATGCGTGTGATACAAATCAATGTGCAAAATCCTAATTCTGAAGTATACTGCACATTTCTGTCACTTGTAGAAACAATTGTTTCCATACCTTTTCATTATTTGATTATTCCATCCATCAACTTAGGATAATGAATTCTATTGGGACACAAGTTGTAACATGTGAGCGATTTTTGAACTGCGAATTGCAGTATATCAGTAACTGTACAACCTGACATGCTTCATTCAAATGCTGCCACAGCCACTAGGTAGTTGGTACTAAAATCTTTCACACGGTCTGTGTTGCTACGTCAAGCCATTTTGCCTTAACTTGGATAATTATATTACGTAGTTGGATGGCAGATGTGTTACTTGGGAAGTGCTAATATCTAACTGTGTGATTTGAAACTCCTGCTATTGCTAAAGATGGTAATAGCTCTTTCTACTAATACGCCACTTTTCACATGCTCGTTTGGGTGACAATGTTCTATTTTTACCCATCGGTCATTCTGGTGGCATGGTTTTCCAAACTTTATGAGAAGACAGATACCATTGCTCCTACCTCCTATATTATCAGTTTTTTCTGCCTTTTCTAATGCACCTGAAACTTTTCAGGTACCTCCTCTACAGAGACGATGACATTCTGGGCACCCTCCACGAGTGATTCAGATGGTGCGGAAGTCATCAGCTTCTTTAATGCAGGAGAGGATGTTAGAGTTTCCATGTTATCGGATAAACCTGAAGTAGAACTCTCTTTTATGGTGTGATGATAGATTTTTACCTCGAACATCATGAACTTATATGATTGTTGCCAGACTTTCTGTCGTGATGCAGTTCAGTAAACTTGCAGCTGAAGTGCTGCCTTAATTTTCGTCAAATTACTTCCCTGGCTGCTAAGCCTTGCGTTATTTGGATTATTATAATAGTGGGTTCATTGATGCATTGGTGCCCTGTTTTACTCTAGCGTAGACCATGTGTATGTGCAAATCTATGAATCTGATACGCTCCGCTGGTTGGTTCAGCTTACTCTCTGTTCATGTGTATTGTTGGATGTGTGAAACAGTTGGTATATCCCACATATAATTAAAGGTTACGATATTCCTTACAGAAGGAGGGAAATTGCACATAAAAACGTGGTTCAAGCATAAAATGTATTCATACGCAGCAAAATCATAGTTGAAACATAAAAGTTGCATAAATTCACATATTGGCATGAACTTGGGGTTCTCTAAATCATGCATAGGGTTGCCTTTGCCTCCATTCTCCACAATCATGGTGTTCAAGATTACACAACATGTCATCAGCTGGCAAAGTGTTAGTTTTCACATTATTGAAGTTACACGAAACAAGCTGACTTTGAAGCACTTAGAATACCCTTTTCACATCGTACCGTCTTATTTGTGAAGAGAGACATTGTTTGTTACCTTGTGGCTGGATATAGTCTTCATAAATATCATCCACCGAGAATAAGATGCTATTAATAAGGTAGTATCATATTTTATACTTGTGCTACCATCACAAAGTCTCTTGAATAAAGTACATTGATATCATCGTTAGAGCCAAACATGCCAAAAAAAACATGTAAAATTCACAAGTTCTTCAATGCCACTACTTTAGGTATGACAATGTTCTTTTTGGTGTGACCTTAATACTACTTGCGTAAACCTTTCGATCAATTCTTTCATTATGAATGCACGCAATCGACTTGACAAAGGAAAACGCTTAAAATCAGGCGGATGATTTTCTCGCCGCTTAAGTCCCTTCCCTCTCTTGCCACGTGTCCCTTGCGGGACCGATGAAGCCTTATCTTCTCGATTGTTCCCATCTCGTCGTCTCTCGCTAATCCCCTCCGCACTAGCGCGCTCTCTCCCCCCACCCCTTTCCTCTCTCTCTCCCCAGCGCCCTCTCCTCCCTGGGCTGTTGCCCGGCCGGCCACCACTCCTCGCCGGCGCTAATTGCTGCAGGAAACTCCATGGCGACCTGTTTTGCAAAGGAAGAGATGCCCATCGGTGCTTTTCACGAGGAGCGTCACGTTTTTCTTCTTCAAATCAGCGTGACCTCGCTGCTGTTGCAGAGGAGCCTATCGGCGGCAAGCCGGCCGGTCGTTGCGGCGACGCTTGCTGCAGAGCAACACGGAAAAGGGAGCTTCGCCGGAGGCGGCGGCGCTGCGTTGGAGCTCCGCCGCAGCTGCAATGGAGCTCGGTTGGAGTTGCAATGGAGTGTTGTCGGAGCCGTCGGAGCTTTGCCAGGGCTGCAATGAAGCTCGACTGGAGTTGCAATGGAGCTCTGTCAGAGCCGTCGGAGCTTTGCCAGGGCTGCAATGAAGCTCGGCCGGAGTTGTAGTGGAGCTTTGTCGGAGCGTCGGTGCTGCGTTGGAGCTCCGCCGAGGCTGCAATGGAGCACAACCAGAGTTGCAATGGAACTTCACCGGAGCGTTGGTGCCGCGTTGGAACTCATCGGACGCCATCGGTGCTTCATTGGAGCTTCGCGCGAGGCTGCAGTGGCGTTGGGTTGAAGCTGATGTGCTCGCTGCTACCTATTGTGATCCAACGACAGCCAACACCCTGATCCAACGGCTGAATAGGCAGATGATTTCTTAGAGAAATCATCCGACTTATTTGTAGCAGACGCCCTTGACAAAGCATACCGGGATCCACTTGATGCTCTTTGGTACAAACACTTTCACCATGATGCATGCATGTTGTCTCTCCCATCTGGATTTCAACATCGATGGCATTTGCGGCTTTATCATAATCGAGCATCCTGAGAGCAGTTGTGCAATTTTGCAGATGAGAGAAGAAAAGTTGTTCACAACAATCTTTCTTCAGCTTGAAGTAGTCATCAACCTCCTCCACGACATTCACTACGCGTATGAACAAACTCTGCTCATCCGGTAGCGACGCCAAAAAAAACCTTCATCATGGTATGTTAGATCCGGTGTGAAGTTGTCCTTGTAGAGAAGCTTTGCACCAGTAATCCTATCTCAAGGAACAACTATCCTGCCGTTTATCGAACCCTTGAAGTTCAGGACATTCTCCTATTGCTTCTCCAATTCATTATGGATGCTCATCATCATTCCAACATTTTTGTCGTTCGAATCTGACAAATCAATGAACCCTTTATATATAAATTATACAAGGTCCTTGTTCCAATACTCATCAGACGAATCCATTGTTTGCCTACAAATGAGCAAAATAAAAAAATTACTCAGACATTTCATCGACCACATAGAGTGCGAGGTGTATGCCGGGAGGAGTTGGACGTATCAGGGCAGCGTCCAGTGGCGACATGGATGACGGTGTTGTCGGTTGGGGCTGACGACGGAGCTAGGGTGGCGGCGGAGCTATGGTAGCGGTTGTGTGGACGAGGCAGAAAATAAGAGAGGAATAGGGCAAGTTGGGCTAGGTTAGGGGTGACCTGAAGAGATTTGAGATAGATCCCTCCTGTGAGTACAACGTGGCGGACACGCCCGAGCGTCCCTGTATCCAATCCGCCACAGATATGGGTTGGAGGGGTGCCGGACAGCCCAAACTTATGTTGACGGTTTAAGGTGTCCGGTTGGGCGGCAATTTTGTCACCGACAGTGAATAGGTCGTCTGCCAGGACGTATTAGGGAGGCGGGATTCTGAGGGGTATAGTTGTAGATGCTCTTATGTATTAGGCGATGGGAGAAGTTGTGGGGCCTCCTTATATAGCATTAGTCATCAAAACCTTAATCACCACATCCCCTCTCTCCCACTTCACACCTTGGAACGTGAGTAATAGATGGTTCCTTGCCTTCAAAGTTAAATCCATTTGTGAAAATTCCAAATTTTCCACATAGTCCTCCTTCCAAATTATCCACACAACGCATGCATAAACTTTTAACCGTAGTGCATGCAAAAATAAGGCTGTGAAATTTAGGAGATACCCACATAATGCTAACATTGTTGAGAGAAAATGCAATTGAAGTCATTAGCTTTTCAATGTGTTATGCTCCACACTTATACACGACGTGTGTGTGTGCGTGTGTGTGTGTGTGTATTCATTTCAACGTTTTTAACTCTTGGTTTCAATATGTAAGAAACATACTCACATATATATTCTTTTGCAATTTCTACCATCTGATATGATTTTTACCTCGAACATCATGAGCTTATATGATTGTTGCCAAACTTTCTGTCATGATGTAGTTCAGTAAACTTGCAGCTGAAGTGTTGCCTTAATTTTCGTCAAATTACTTCCCTGGCTGCTAAGCCTTGCGTTATTTGGATTATTATAATGGTGGATTCATTGATGCATTAGTGCCCTGTTTTGCTCTAGCATAGACCATGTGTATGTGCAAATCTATGAATCTGATACGCTCCGCTGGTTGGTTCAGCTTACTCTCTGTTCATGTGTATTCTTGGATGTGTGAAACAATTGATATATCCCACATATAATTAAAGGTTACGATATTCCTTACAGAAGGAGGGAAATCGCACATAAAAATGTGGTTCAAGCATAAAATGTATTCATACAATAAATCATAGTTGAAACATAAAATCTGCATAAATTCACATATTTGCATGAACTTGGGGTTCTCTAAATCATGCATAGGGTTGCCTTCGCCTGCATTCTCCACAATCATGGTGTTCAAGATTACACAACATGTCATCAGCTGGCAAAGTGCTAGTTTTGACATTGTTGGAGTTACATGAAACAAGCTGACTTTGAAGCACTTAGAATACCCTTTCCACATCGTACCGTTTGTTGGAATATGCCCTAGAGGCAATAATAAAAGCATTATTATTATATTTCCTTGTTCATGATAATTGTCTTTTATTCATGCTATAATTGTGTTATCCAGAAATCGTAATACATGTGTGAATAAATAGACACCAACATGTCCCTAGTAAGCCTCTAGTTGACTAGCTCGTTGATCAACAGATAGTCATGGTTTCCTGACTATGGACATTGGATGTCGTTGATAACGAGATCACATCATTAGGAGAATGATGTGATGGACAAGACCCAATCCTAAACATAGCACAAGATCGTATAGTTCGTTTGCTAGAGTTTTCCAATGTCAAGTATCTTTTCCTTAGACCATGAGATCGTGTAACTCCCGGATACTGTAGGAGTGCTTTGGGTATACCAAACGTCACAACGTAACTGGGTGACTATAAAGGTATACTACGGGTATCTCCGAAAGTGTCTGTTGGGTTAACACGGATCAAGACTGGGATTTGTCACTCCGTATGACGGAGAGGTATCACTGGGCCCACTCGGTAATGCATCATCGTTATGAGCTCAAAGTGACCAAGTGTCTGGTCACGGGATCATGCATTACGGTACGAGTAAAGTGACTTGCCGGTAACGAGATTGAACGAGGTATTGGGATACCGACGATCGAATCTCGGACAAGTAACATACCGATTGACAAAGGGAATTGTATACAGGGTTGCTTGAATCCTCGACATCGTGGTTCATCCGATGAGATCATCGAGCAGCATGTGGGAGCCAATATGGGTATCCAGATCCCGCTGTTGGTTATTGACCGGACAGCGATCTCGGTCATGTCTACATGTCTCCCGAACCCGTAGGGTCTACACACTTAAGGTTCGGTGACGCTAGGGTTGTAGGGATATGTATATGCAGTAACCCGAATATTGTTCGGAGTCTCGGATGAGATCCCAGACGTCA